AAATTTTATTTGAGTTTTCACAAAGAGAAAAAAAATACAAATAAAACATCTTTTTTGAAAGTAGCGTAATCCCGGGTTACATTTCTTCGTACAGACACAAATTCAGGTTCACGCTCATTTTTATATTCTATTCCATATCTTATTACTATTTTACATTTTCTGCATAGCTTCTCCCCTCTTTTAATTTTCTCAATTTTATTTTAATTATCTCAATTCAAATCATTGTATTTGTATTTTTTGTCCTGTTTCAATTATCTATTATCTTTTCTCATTAAACAAAATTTCTCCTGTAGTTACTGATTGGAGTATGACGCCTTTATGTCTTTTAAGTTTATCCATTTAACTCTTATTTAGGCTTCAATATATACCCTAAAGTTATAACATTCAATATAATAGATAACTTCCATCCGGATTCTGCTTGGTACATTCTTAAAATACACACTATATTCTTAAAAAAAGAAAAAATTATAAATGTATGTAATTAAAACAACACATTCCATTCCAATTCAATTCTATCAATATTAATATTCATTAAAGTCTTAACTTCTTTAACATTACTTTTCAATTAGATATCATACTTCTATGGGAACAATTATAAGCTTTCCATAATTAATTCTCCCCCCTTATATTTTATAAAACAATTAATTAAAATGTTCCCGTTCCTTCCTAATTCAATTTTCTCATTTATTTCACTTATTTTATTAACAAACATTTCACTAAATTACACTAACTATTTTATCCCTCATTTTAATCATACATTGTTTCCAATTTTCTAAAGTTATTTCTATTACTAATATAACAATACAATCTTATGTACCTTTACAGAATCCCTTTTTCAGTTAGATTTTCACCCATTATCTCTAAATAGGTCCTATCTCTCTATATCTTGCTCCGGTCCTTTGTAACTTCTTTTCCTTTCCTTCTTCCCTCTCTTCTTCTCTCTCCCCTTTTTACCCCTTTGTCTCTCTACCTCTATTTCTCTCTTCTGTATTCCCCTTTTCTGTTGCTTTCCAGTATTATCAGACATGATATTCTTCCGATTAAAATCGGAATTCCGTTTTTTTTGGGAATGCCCCCCCCTTCCCCCCCTTCTCCTCCTTCCCCTCCCCTCGGAGGCCCCGAGTCAGGAGTTGCTACCGCCGGCGTGGCTCTGCGTGGCTCCAGTCCCACGTTGCCTCAGGAAGGGAAAGGCAAAAAGGAAGAGCCGCGGCGGCGCTTTGCAACGGCAGCAGCGGCTCCTGGTTTTGCCTTTCCCTTCCCGAGGCAACGCGGTGCGAGCGGAGGCCGGGCGGGCGGGCGGTGCGAGGGGCGGGCAGGCGGTGCGAGCGGCGGGCGGTGTGAGTGGTGCGAGCGTTGGGCGGGCAGGCGGGCGGTGCGAGCGGTGGGC